CCAGCTATTTTTCTAAACACTTGAGCTTCAAGAAAACTGAGAAAGAGCTTTTACAAAAATATTTTTTATTGCTAGTGACATATATAATATGGGTCCTACTTTGAGGTGGGGGAGGGGGTCTTTTTTGTTTGTTTTGCTTTAAATGTGTGTATTTGATCCCAGCTCAGATTTACATTTAAAACATTTTAAAAGTGTATGCACTCCCAATTGTGTGGAATGCCAGGAAACGGAGTTCATTCCGAGAGGAATGAGCTTTCAGCTCTGTCCTTTGTGACAGATTCCAGAGCGTCTCTACCTTAAGGCAGGCGGGTCACCGGGCCGCTTCTGTGACCCCCCCTAACCTGTACCAGGCTGCCGGCAAGCACTCCTGTCAGTTCTGTTTACTCTGGCAAGACTGATGGCATCCAGGTGGATTTCCCAACCCCCGCCTCCTCCACTCTCCGCCCCCACTTCTCTCCAGCCCACGAGCACGGTTGCATTTGCCAATGGAATAGTTCGGCAGTGAGTTGCTGTGCAAAACTCCAGTTTGTAAAAACAGCTTTTCTCCTGAGTTAAACCACTGGCATTGCTTATGAGTGCAGGACCTCCACCTGATCCCCTCCCCACCCCCCATCTTCACCCTGAAGCGTGTCTACTGAGCTTTAGGAAAATGTGCCTTTGTGCTTGTTACTGCCCTTGCATCTCCCTGGATGAAGTCACTCGCCTGGGAGGGCTGTGCTGTTAGGCAGATAATCCTGTTAAGCATCTGGAGAGCCTGGATAGGAGATGTTCAGCTCAAGAATGTCAGGAGTAGATAGAATGGTGCTGGAGGTGGGCTCCAGGGGCAGTGCTGAGGGTAAACAGGCTGCCTCCCTGGTGGACACCAGCCTCAGGTCTGCCCGCTCCCTCTGGCCTGCGATAAGCTGCCGACCATAAGGAATAATTATTAGTGGATGACTGCTACATGTTAAAATGTTGTTAACCCCCTCGACGTGCACTAAGCGCTAGGGATGCAGACATGAGTAAGACGCGGTTCCCAGGTAATATGTGTGGAGGTGGGGGGTGAGGGGGTGAAGTTAAGAGACAAGACAGCAAATGTAAAATGATTTGTTGTAGAATCCAGAAAGGGAATGATCCCTGAGGAGTGGAGGGTGATACTTGAAGGAACAAAAGAAACAGGGGCCCAGGGAGAAGGGGGAGGGTGTTCCTGACAGGAGAAATTACATACGCAAAGGTGCTAAAGTGGGAACTAATAAGCTGTGTTCAGGGAACAATAATGAGGGATGTGGCTGGCGCAAGAGTTCATACAGGGCAGTAACGGAAGAGTGACTCTGGAGAGCCAGGGTGGGGCCAGGTGAAGAGGGCCTGCAGTGCCAGGCAGAGGCGTTATTCAGCAGGCAAAGAAAAAAAAGTTCTAGAAGGATTAGCCAGGAAAGTGGGAGGGTGACATGATCCAGGTGGTGTTCTAGAAAAACTAATCTGGCATCAATGTGTAGGTAGAAAGAGTCTGAAAGCAGGAAGCTGTTCACACGAACCCACTGGGGATTTGATAAGGCCTGGACAGTGGCTGTTTAACCTATTCCTAGTCTCTCTTGCTGCCTAGAGCCTTATTCAGCCCTGGCCTCTACACCCTTCCTTGGTAACTTCACTGATCCCTTAGGTCTCAGCTTCAATGCAACTTCTCCGTGAGAGACCTCCTTGACTGACCCTAGATTAGTCAAAGTCCCCCTGATATATGTTCCCGCGGAAGCCCATTTGCTTTGTCATAATACTCCATTGTGTTATTTTGAGTCTTTTAATTGTGGTAAAAAAAAAAAAAAAAAAAAAAAATATAAAATTTACAATCTTAACAATTTCTAAATGTACAGTTCAGTAGTGTTAAGTGTACTCACATGTCTGTGCAATCAATCTCCAGAAACTCTTTCACGTATACCCATTTACACCCATTAAACAACTCCTCATTTCCCCCTTCCCCCAGCCCCTGGCAGCCACCATCCTACTTTGTCTCCCTATGAATTTGACCCCTCTAGAGAATCATACAGTAGTTGTCTTTTTGTGCCTGGCTTATTTCACTTAGAACAATGTCTTCAGGGTTCCTCCATGTTTAGCATGTGACAAGATTTCATTCCTTTTAAAGGCTGAATAATATTCCATTGTATGTATATACAATATTTTGTTTATCCATTCATTCATCAATGGAAATTTGAAGACTTTTTAAAATAAAATGAACTTTGATATAATGGGACAGAATAGAACACAACAGAATAAAAATATCAGCGTGCATTCTTATAATAGAGATAAGTATTGAGAGGGAGAATCATTTGGCAGAACTCCAATATAATAAGATTAGCCAAATAGGAAACAAAATCTGTATCATGTACCCAGAATTTAGCAACATGAACCATATCCCTTTTCCATCCTGTCTGTATATAGTGCAAGTTGCCAAGGCAGGCATAGATGAATTTATATATCTGTCTCTTCTCACCTTAAACTGCCAAAATAGAAAAAGGAAGTGAATTGAGGAGTGATAAACTGCTATTTTTCCTGGCCACATTTTCCGAGTCATTCTTCATTCTGTGGCATTATCTATCTCAGAATATATACAGGCTGGTTGGGTATGACCAGTCCTCTTGACTACATGACGTTAGGGGTGCTCAAAACCAGAATGTAGTTCTCTGTTACTCAGCTTCATTGTCCATTGGAATCTGGGTTTAGCTTCTAATATGAGCCCCAGAGCACTTGCTTTCCCAATGCCCTTCTGATCTGTGCTCCCAGCACCCCATGTTAACCCTGTACAGGAGATCTTCCTTTGGAGTGAACAATAGGAATCTAAGATAGCTCTCTGGAAAGTTTTTACCTTGCAGCTACAGGTACATAAGCACGGGGGAGGACACACACATTCGTACACAGACACAGACACACACACATACACACAGAGCCCGGTGCCAAGGAAGCAAAGAGGAGAAGTTGCAACTATACCTTGATGACTGTAGGAGGGAAAGAAGATCTGAGTCACCATCATCTCAAATCCTCTCCCACGCTCCCACTCCCCTACCCCCATGCTACCACTTTGTTTTGGCTATGAAGATATTTAGTGGAAACGTTAGAATAACATAAGTGTGCACTGAGGTCCAGAGCCTCTCTGGGTGCTGACCTATGTCTAGCACACTTGATTGGCCCCAGGCCTCGGTACTACACTGGGCCAGGAGCAAAGTCATCAATAAACATCTCTGCCTGAGAGACGCAACCAAATCTGTATAAACAAGAAGAATTGTGAGCTGGAAATTACTTGAACTGGTAGTTGTTTAATATGATGGTCACATCCCTTGACATATATCCACAGTTCAAACATTCATAAGGCATATAAGTTTAGATATAAGCAGTGGTTGGGAGGATAATGTGTAATATTATTATGCTAATTTTCAATATAGGCAATAAAATAGAAATTCAAAATTAAAGAATCATGTCTAGCACTTACTGTCAGTGAATATCTAAATTGTTTTTAGAAATCAGAACACCTTATTGAAATGTAGAGACACTGAAGACATGCAATTGATACTGAACTTCTAATATAAATTATACATTTAGAAGCAGGACTTAGTCAAAATTGAGTTAAGTTCATACTCTGAGCCCCTCTGCAACTCTAAATACATGACAATGACAGATAAAATGTAAAAATGGAAAACTAAAATACATACCCATGCTCAAAAAGAAAATAAGCATATCCATGGGCTAGAAATTTATCAGAAATACACATTTACCAGTGATAAGCAGGGCTGATGAGTCCAAAAGTACCTCATGAGAGATGGGGTACTGAAGCAAGGATCATTGCAGAACAGCACAGTCCAAACACTGAGCAATAGGATGGCTTTTCTCAGGTCTTGAATTCAAGATGGAGTTTTCCCCATCTCCCTAGTTTTGTGACTTTTTAAGAAACATAGGTCAAAGTGGCAGTCTTAGTCTTTTTTTCAGGCTTTGCTAGTGGGTAGGGGAGTCCCACCTAAATCAGTTTTATACAGCGATCTTAGGTCTGGTCCCTGCTCTTACATAATGGTCTGTATCAACAATCAATAGATAAATCCATTTCAGATAAAATGACAATAATAGAGCTCTCTGAAGATGATATCAAAATAATTATTTTAGAGTCTTCAAAGATATAAATGAAGAAATACATCCATTAAATAATAAAAGTTATGAAACAGAAACAGGCAGAAATGAAATATCAGGGGCCGACCCGGTGGCGCACTGCTACAGTGCGCCGCTTGGGAGCGCGGTGGCACTCCCGCCGAGGGTTCGGATCCCACATACAGACCGGCCGCTCACTGGCTGAGCGAGGTGCGGGCGCAACACCGAGGGTTGCGATCCCGTTGCCGGTCCCGGTCCGGTGCGGGCGTGACACTGAGGGTTGCGATCCATTGCCGGTCATGAAAAAAGACAAAAAGGAAAAAAAAAAAAAGAAATGAAATATCAGAACATATGGAACAGAACTTATAATAAATCTTGAGCCGAGCCTGTGGCGCACTCGGGAGAGTGCGGCGCTGGGAGTGCAGCAGTGCTCCCGCCGCGGGTTCGGATCCTATATAGGGATGACCGGTGCGCTCCCAGCGCTCACTGGCTGAGCGCGGTGCGGCCGGCCTCAAAAAGGACAAAAAAAAAAAAGAACTTATAATAAATCATGGAAATGAAAAATATATTCATTGATGTAAAAATAATCCTCTATATTGGACACAAAAAGAAAATAACAAATTGGGAGGCAGTACCAGCTATTTACCCAGTATTGAATATAGAAAGATAAAGATAAAAAAATAAAAAATAACCAAGAGCAGTTCAGAAACCCAGATGATGGGTAGAGAGGTTCTAGCACATGTCTAAGAGTAATCTGGAGTAAGAGGACAGAGAAAATGAGAGAGCAATAGTAAAAGAAATGTTGGCTGAGAATTTTTCCTCATGTTGAAAGAACACACCAAATGCTAGGCAGAATAACTGAAAATGAATCATTCCTAGACACATCACTATGAAGCTGCAGAAAATCAAAGACACAGAGAAAGAAATTAAAGCTGTGTAAGAGGCAAGACATATTACTGGCAACAGAATGATGGAGAAACCAACAGCAGATCACTCGTCAACAATATCAGAAGCCAGAAGACTTCTAAGGTAATATCATCAATGTGCTGAAGAAAAACATCCATTAGTTCAGAATTCTTCACATAGCTGAACTGTGTGTGAAAGCAAAATAAAGGCCTTTTCAGATTTACAAAGTCTAAGGGCATTTTCCTTTCATAGAGCCTCGCTGAAAAGACTACTAAAGGATTTACTTCGTCAAGAAGAAAAGTGAACTCTGAGGGATAGAATGGGTTGCAAGGTAAGACAGAAAACCCAAAATAGGAAAAAATATATTGATATATTTACTGTTGACTGTAAATTTGGGCCAGAAGTTACCTGAAAAAGCAAGAGATAAAGAAGAAATGTTGAAACATGAGCCAAAGCAAACAAATAATTCACCAGCATTAATAAAAAAGAACGTGGTCTGCTCTAGATTTTCTTTGCTCAGCCGTTCAGCAGAGGAGGGATGAGTGACCTACATCTGTTGAATGATTTAGACTCCAGTCTTATTCCAAGAAAGACTTAGGTTAGCTAACCTGCAGCTATTCCCGATCTATCCTATATTTTCAGATCCAGGAGTTTCCCAAGGGAGTCATTGGCAGCTTTTGATTGAACCTTTGGCACCAGTCCCAGAGAGAGCTCTCCATGTTCAAATGAATCATGGGATGTGGGTTTTTTAGGCAATCCAGTCCCTCAAGTCTCCAGACAAACACAGTAAAGACTTTTAGAAAAAAAATCAAACCCCAAGGGAGAAAGGAACATGGAACATATGAAAAAATTCTGCAGCACTAAAGAAAATTTCCCCAAAGGAAAATCTTCCTCCTCAAGGAGGTTGACTTAAAGATAAACCTGCTCTATATTTCTAATGAGATAAAGGAATTCATCACATCAGTCACTGAACAGGTCAGCGTAAAAAGAGAATGCAATAAAATTATATCCAATAATATCTGAAATTGGGTCTTCATTAAAAGCAGAATGAAAATTACAGAAAATCTATTCATCCAAATAAATGATAGTGTCAAGAATGATATACCAAATATAAAAGAAGTCAGTAAAATATTTTGAAGGAAGCAAAAGAAGACAATAGATATATAGAATAGGACAAAGACATGACAGCAACCCTTTGAATAAAATATTCCTGATAAAGAGAGAACAAATGGGATCATTATACTTTGTATATCACACTGTATCCCAGAAACATATACAGTTATTATGTGTCAATTAAAAATTTTTTTTTAAAAAAAGAGGAAACAAATGGTTAATGCTTGGTTATCAAAGTTCCCAGAATTGGGGGGAGAAAATCTGATGCTGGAAATCAAGATGACTTACTTTATCTCAGATAAGATTAATAAAAAGGAAACAATATTAATGCAAATCCTGGTGTATTCTTAAACAGTAAGGGGAAAAAATATACCTATAAATTGATAGTAGGTTGGGGAGAGGGAGAAGGTCATGTTCAAAGGAGTTAAAATCAGGCTTGCTTCATGTTTCTCGTCTGAAACTGCCAATGTTAAAAAAGAAAGGAAAAATATCTTCAGTTCACTAAGATGTAGAGTGACACCCAAAGATTCCATTTGTAGCCCTAGGTTGTTCATATATGAGGACAACATTCTAAGATTTGCAGAGACTGGGAACATGAACATACTCAGTGCTGTTTCTGCAGATTCTTTGAGACTATTCTCATCATTGTGGTCAGAATTAATGAAAAAACTGGCTTCTGTCTTGCTCATCATCTTGCCCTCTCTCTCTTGCTTTTTCCCTTGCTGCTCTAAGCACTGCCATGTTGTGAGCTGCCCCATGGATAGACCCATGTGGCAAGAAACGGATTGTCTATGGCAAACAGCCAGAAAAGACCTGACGCCTGCCAACAGCCACGTGAGTGAGCTTGGAAGTGGATCTTCTGAGGCTGCCAACAGCCACATGAGTGAGCTTGGAAGCAAATCTTCCCCCAATTGAACCTTGAGATGACTGCAGCCCCAGCCAACACCTTGATTACACACTTCTTAGAGACCCTGAGCCAGAGGACCCAGCTAAGCCACATCCTGGGAGATAATAAATGTTTTTTTAATTTTTTATTTTATTTTATTTATTTATTTATTTTTTTCCTTTTTGAGACCGGCCGCACTGCGCTCAGCCAGTGAGCGCTGTGAGCGTACCAGTCATCCCTATATAGGATCCGAACCCGCAGCGGGAGCACTACTGCGCTCCCAGCGCCCCCAGCACCCCCAGCGCCGCACTCTCCCGAGTGCGCCACGGGCTTGGCCCAATAAATGTTTTTTTAATTTTTTTTTTTATTTTATTTATTTATTTATTTTTTTCCTTTTTGAGACCGGCCGCACTGCGCTCAGCCAGTGAGCGCTGAGAGCGTACCAGTCATCCCTATATAGGATCCGAACCCGCAGCGGGAGCACTACTGCGCTCCCAGCGCCCCCAGCACCCCCAGCGCCGCACTCTCCCGAGTGCGCCACGGGCTTGGCCCAATAAATGTTTTTTTAAGCCACTTGATTTTAGGCTAATTTCTCCCATGGCAACATATACCTAATATACCTATTACCTTATTATATTTTAAATTTTATAAGAATGGGGAAAGGAGGAAAAAGAAGAGGAAAGCCCTGAAGGGCACAATATTTCTTTTTTCCATGAAAATGAGTCAAAAGATACCACCTTTGATGAAATACAGAACAAAAGATATGTAACATGTTTAAGAAAATTATTACTAGGATTTACAATATGGTGATTGGCTTTCCAAATAGCTAAAAGTAAACAGAATATATTTCATATGTCAGCATGAAAATAGAAAAGAAACACTGAGAAAGCATTTAATGAAATTTATGAAGTCAGAGCAAGTGTAGCTATTAGCCCACATTCCACTGTAGAGAACAAGGAATCTCAGGTTAGTTTAAAAAACAGAATCCAACAATATTTATTTATTTGGTGAACAAATATCTGTTGAGTGCCTACTGGGATAACTGGTAAACAAGGCCAGCTCAGTCTGATGAAGAATACAAACAAACTGTTGTAACACAGGATGTAAGTACAGAGGGAAGTATAAGACAAAAGAAAAGTCTATCGATGTAACTTTTCCTACCTACCTTAGTATTTTTAACCTCTTTTGCTTTAGACTATGCACATATCAGCACCATACCTCCAGTCAGCCTTTCAAGATTCCCTAGCCCTAACCCTACAACATACACACACACATACACACACACACACACACACACACACACAGGACTGCAGTGAAAAATTTTAATCACGGTTATTAGGTTGTGACAGATTAAATAGAGTATGCCCCAAAAAAGAATTAGAGAATATAAACAATATAATTTTAATGTACAATTAATAAATTATACTTTATGAACAGAAACACAAATTTTTATATAAGACCCTCTCAATAAATTCAAATAAGTAGAAATTATATTGGTCATAATCTCTGATCATAGTGTAGTCAAGTGAGAAATCATAAAGTTTAAGATGAAAAAGTTCATTAAGAAGTTGGAAAGATTTATATGACATCTGGTTCAAAGAAAAATACTAATAATACAATAAGAGATAACTTAGAAAATATGACTGTGGAAACATTACATAAGCAAACATAGGAAATGTGGCTAAAGATATACTCAGAGTTGAATTTACAAAGTGATTTTTTTTAAAAGAACTTAGTGTTCAGTTTAAATTTTTAGAACTAGAACACAAAATAATCCCTAAGAAAATAAGAGTAGGGAAATAATAAAGATAAAAGAAGCTGATTATTTGAAAGAACAAACAAAATAAACAATATATTGGCAAATCTAATTAAGAAAAAAGAAGAACACAAAATTTGAATTGACGAAATTGATATAATAATAGCTATAACATATTTTTAAATTACCATATAATTGCATATAATTATGTTACTAAATTTTAAAATAGTAATTAAATGGACATTCTCCCTACAAAATAAGTGAAAGTGCAAGAAACAGAAAGTTTGGAAAGAGTAAGAAAAGCAAATGAATAGAAAAATCTATTAAAAAGAAAAAACACTACCCTCCCCCCGCCCTGTCCCCAACAGGTATCAGGAATACAGGTGAATGCTGTCAAATCTTAGAGGAACATATAGTCTCCATATTAGAAAAACTTTGCCATAGCATTGGGGAAAATGAAAACTATCAATTGATTTTATAAATTAAACATGTCCATAAACTGCAACTTATTTGACACTCATATAAACACAATTATAGGCCAATTTCCCTTTTATATACATACATGAAAAATCTCAAATGGGATAAATTCCATTGGACATTAGAAGGATAATCTACAATTCAGTCCTTCAACAATCATTTATTGAACACCTACTACTGGGCACAGATGATACACTGAGCACTATGGTAAGCCCTGGAAGATACTAAATTAGAAAGATATGGTCCTTGCCCTCAAAGAGCTCAGAGTCTAATGGGGAGGGGACATATACAAGAACAATTAAAACGTAAATGCAAATAAATTCTATTCTCAGAATACAGCCATGGAATGGGTATGTCTAGCCATCATGAAAAGGGAAAACAGAGGGCTATCAGCAAAGACTTCTTGGAGGACCATGCGCTTGAACTATTTCTCAACGAAGAACAGGAATTAGCTAAAAGGGAGGAGTAGGGAGCAATGTTCCACCTCAGGGTATGAGGCTATTCCAGGCAGAGGAGATAGGAGTAGAGACATGGTGGCAGGAAATGGTTTGGTACTTACAGAAAACTATACCATGAACTCTCTGGTCTATAGACTGAGGATTATACCTGTTTTTCATATTGTGTGCATAGGGTCTAAACCAATGTCCAGCACCTATATTTAGGGATCCTTATTATATAGTTATGGTTGAAATCATATAGCAAATGAGATCACTCAGGCAGAGAGTAGAGTATTTAAAAAAAAAAAAAAAGCAAAAGGCTGAGGACAGAACTTGAGGAACACAAAAAAAAGCAGGTGGAGGAAGAGGAGGGAGGAGGCCATTAAGGAAATGGAAAATATCTCATGAGAGAAGAATGAGAACCAGGAGCTGGAGTAGTTGTGGAAATCAGGGAAGGAGTGGTCCAGAGACTAGTACACAGAGAGGGGTGGTACGAACAACTGAAGAACAAGTATTAGATTAGAAATTGAGGAATTCAGGCTGCAAGTATAGACTACTTCAAAAAGCTTGGACAAGAAAAAGAGAAAGAGTAGAGAGGGTGGGAGGTTAAGGGACTGTTCTGTTTTTTGTTCTTAGGGTTGTCTCAGTTATCTGCTGCTGCACAGCAAACCAACATAAAACTTATGACTTGAAACAAGGATTTATTATTTCTCAGGATCCTATCAATTAATTAAGTAGTTCTTCTGTTAGTCTCTGCTTAGGTCACTTTAGCTGGTAGGTCATCTGGTCAGGCTAATTGGGACCATAAGCTTCTCCCTCCACGTGGTAAGAATCTCCCTCCCAAAGTGGTCTCTCATGCCTAGCGCCTATTCCAGGTGGCCATCCTCTTCATCAGGACAGTCTGGACTTCCTTACAACATGGTGGCTGGGCTCCAAAAGGAACAATCCAAGAGAGATAAGCTCAGTGTGCAAGTACTTACCAAGCCTCTACTTGCATCACACCTGCTAATGACCTTTTAGCTAAAGCAAATTGCATGGAAAAGTCTAGAGTCCACACAGGAGCGGATTACACAAGGGTGTGAATTCTGAGAGAATGGTGGGGGGGGGGGCGGGGTGTCTATCTATATAATAGTTCCTATAGTCAACTATAATAGTGGACTGGAGGAAGAGAGATTAAAAATGGGTATGCATGTATTTTGGTTTAATCACTGAGGGGAATAGTAGAGGGAGTTGTCCCTGGAAAGGTGGCACTGGGACAGACTTGGGATTCGTGGTAACACCAACCCTGCCTTCTTTTGCTTCTCCATCGATAGTCAATGTGTGTGTTGAAGCTAAGGAGGCTGATTATAGTATTGATCTGGGTTTAGATTTGGTTGGTGGATGCTGCAGAATAGTGGTGTCAGGAATCATGGGTTATTGGAGAGAGTAATTTGAATGGTAGAAACAGGATCCTGACTCCATAGGTAAGAAAGAGAGACCAGGAGGGTACCCATGGAAGAGTCAGGAAACAGGAGGTCTCTATAGGCTCAAAATACACAGAAGCGTGAATAAAGATTGAAAAAGGGAAAAGAAAATTGAAGCCAGAGGAGGCCAAAGAATTGTAGAGCTAGATTATTGGATGTACAGACCACATTAACATGAAAATCCTGGAATTAATGAAGGTTGAGATGGGATGGAAAGTTCTAAGCCATTTCCCAATGTCAGCAGTGAATGATGGAAGTAACAGGAAGTGACAGTACTGCTGAGGGGCTGCTCGTGAGTACAAGGACTGGGTCTGTTGTGTCCTTGGTTACCAGTACAGTGCACATAGAAGATGCACCATATTAATAACTATTTGTGGAATAAACAAATGTCTTTAATCCATCTCCCTCATTTTACAGATGACAAAACTGAGGCCCCAAAAGTTTAAATGTACTGCTCAAAGTCACCAAGTTAATGTACAGCTAGCCAAAGCTTCCTGCCTCCTTACAAAACCACACTGGATGTGGATTTCCTTCCCAACATTCCCAGAGGCGGCTCATTATTTTATAATTTCACAACTATTTAAATGGCATTTGTCATTCTTGGGTGATGGGATGAAATACCCTAAAGTTGAATGAATAAAGGGAGTGGTTAAAAATATTCCTTGAGGCCTAGAGAAATTTACTTATTGGAAATACACCACATATATTTTCAAGGTACATTCAAGGAAGCTGGTCATGTAACCATATCCTAGCCAGTCTGCCAACATTTCATTGTTCTCTCCTCTTCTGGTGCTGTGGTCTCATCTTTGTTCACACTCAGAAAATCAGGAAGAAACATACACACACACACACACACAAAATAGCTGTCTACCCAAAGTAACTGGATTTTTCCACAGACTCTATAGGATTAAAGAAATTAATTAGCTTTCAGCTGAATAGGTCTGAGGCTGTTAAAGCCTTAC